AAAATTCTCTGGCCAGCATCAGTCTGAAGCGGACCCCACCGTCCACCTCCGCTCGGCCGCCACCGCCAGCAGTGACGTCAGGTGCGAAAAGTTCCGCTTATCGTCAGGGCAATCCATGTCCTGTTGCTGGAACACTGAACTTCGTCAGAGCCGGCAGTGGAAAACCGCACCGCTTCAGCGTCTCTACATTCCCCCAGCCTACCAAGTGTGACCATTGCACGTCGCTGATGATCGGCATTATTCACCAAGGCTACGTCTGCCAGGACTGTGGCTTTTCTTGTCACGTTGGCTGTCTGAACAAGGTTCCGTCGATATGTCCGGTTCCGCCTGAAGCGAAACGGCCAATGGGCATCGATCCTTCGAACGGCGTTGGCACCGCATACGAGGGTAAAGTGCGCATTCCGCGCCCTGGGGGCGTGAAGCGCGGTTGGAACTACCAGTACGTAGCGGTTTGCGACTTCAAGCTTCTGCTGTACGACTGTAACATCGACAAGTTTGGCAAGCTGTGCGACATAAGTCCTTACATCTCTTATGTGTTGGACATGCATGACGATGACTTCGCCGTCAGCTCAGTGCAAGAGGCAGACGTGATCCATGCCAGCCGCAAGGAAGTGCCTTGCATCTTTCGTGTCACGTCGTCACAGATACACCAACCATTGTCGTCGACTGGAGGGGAACCATGTAAGGTGTACACGTTGATGATGGCCGACTCACCGAACGAGAAACAGAAATGGGTGATTTTCCTGAACGAACTGCATCGGCGTCTGCGCAAAAGCAGACTCGGCGAGAAGAAGGTGTTCGTGCTTCGCGAACTGCTAGACCAAACTGCTCTGCCCATTTTGAGAATCATTTTGTGTGCTTGTGTGCTGGACAGAGACCGGCTTCTGATCGGTACCGAAGAGGGACTGTTCTGCGTGGAGCTGGATCGTGAGTGCGTCACGAAACTGGGCGACGGTAGAAAAGTAGAAGCGATCGAGTATGTGCAAGAGGAACAACTGATTATTGTCATGTCTGGCAAAGAGCGGCAAATCAAACTCATTCCGACCGGCGTCCTCGATGGCCGCGACGTCAAGTGGATCAAGGTAGATGGCACGAAGCAGTGCCATGCGATCTGTAGCGGCGCCGTCATGCACGGCAGTGTCTACTGCTTCTGTGTGGCTGTCAAGAAAACGGTAATTCATGACGAGGGAAAGGCTCGTTCACACAGATTTTTATTTTGATTACTTTTTGTTTTCAGGTGCTCGTTTTCGAGGTAAACAGGACGCAGATGAGGCACAAGAAGCTCAAAGAGTTGCCGATGCCTGGTCTGCCTCAGGTATTGTCCATACTCCACGGGAAATTGTGCGTAGGCTACCCGTCGGGCTTCCGCATGTGGGACCTGGTGGACAATTCTCAGCAGTGTAATTCTTCTTTTCGTTTCTTGCTTCGTCCGCCGTTGTCTGCACTGCGTTCGTTTAAGCCCTGCTGAATATGGAAGACAACAGCCTGCAGTTCGTCAACCATGCGACCTACGACGCCGCTCTACTTATCGAAGTATCTGAGAAGGAGTTCCTGCTGATTTTTCAGAAACTGGCGATCTACGTCGACCCTTCGGGCAAACGATCTCGAGCTCAGGAACTAATGTGGCCCGCATTCCCTACCGCTTTCGCTTACAGCATTCCTTACCTTGTGGTGTACAGCGAGAACCATGTTGATGTATATAACACGAACACAGCTGAATGGGTGCAGACACTGAACATCAGGCACGCCAAACCGATCATCAAAAGTGGCGCAATCACCATGTGTATCGTCTCTGACATCGCGTACATCGTGGTGCTCAGCGATGTTTTATCCGGTACGCTGGCAGAAGGGCTTCAAGTTTCGTGTTTACTGTATTTCGTTGTGTTATGTGAAACTAGTGCACGTCGAGGCATTGACATTTAGCAGCCTACTTGTCTATTGAAATTTTTCACGCGTCTGCTCTCTACACGTAATCAGACCGATTTGTATAGCACTAGTTCTGTAGAAAAGAATGCGGGTGGAAGACAGTCGAGAAAGTTTTTGGATTCCAGTTTTGGAGTGCGGGGAAAGCTTTTTTAATAGCTGCTAATTTTTTTGAACAAACATTTCTCCCTATCAAACTTCGGTGCAGTCATTTATAAAGCAGGTAACAAATCTTTTGCTACATGAGCATGACTGTGCTTTCTGCAGCATGTGCCTTTGGGCTGCAGTTCATAATGACCCACCTGATTAAAAATATGTAAACCATAAAATTAAATTTAATACATGAAGTATTCAGGGAACAAAGTCATTCATCGTTGTGTTGCCAATTGTTTCATGGTTGTGTTGGCTTGTTGTGTGACATTTTCCATGCCCAGTTGTCAAACGAAGGTTTTTCTTGATATATGTTTCTATAGTGGTGATCTTTCTTTAATAGAATTTCAGGCCATTGGATGATTACAGTTTGGAGCATTTGATGACTTCGTATCTGATATGCGTTGCCATTGTATTCCCAAGGAATGTCATATGTAGCGCTGTTGAAAGACTGTTGTTGCTCTTTTTGAAGCGAAACGTTTCGGAATCATTCGATGGTGCCGATTGAATTGCTATCATATAGATATTTATTGTTAACCCAACATTAATATTACCTACCCAGAGTCTTGCGTAATTTGGTAGCAGTCAACTGAATTTTCATTTTTTTTTAGTCCTTTCTGCTTACAGTCCTAGTTTCTTGAAATCACATATCATTGTCAGTAATCTCTACAGCCTTTTGTCGGTTGCTTATTTCAGACGTTCAATTTTTTCTGTATTCGAGGGCATTTTTTTTGTTTTTCTGTATTTCTCTATTATATATGAAAGGTTCCCTCTGTATGATGAGCCGGCTGCATATGCCGCAGAGGACCCTCTTCCATGACGTATGACAGACCTGATGCTGGTCAGTTCATCCCTACCTCGACAAAGGGCTCACCAACCGCTTCCTCACTGGATTTCGGTAAGTTGGCTGAAATATTTTGAGGAAGAAGGCTATTGTTCACGAAGGTGGTCATCCTAAATGAACTGTGCAGGAAACTCGCCAAAAATACGGTTTGCAGTGAAAATTTTCGGGGCCGTAAGTGTAGGCTACCGAGTCCCGATACCTAAAATTGTGATTTCCTACGATCTTATGATGGACAAGACGCGACTGGCAAATGGCAAAAGGATATCGGGATCTTCGTAATTGGCCACAACATCAGAAATCTGTTGGTCAGACGCGCTCGTTGACGTCTACATCACTGATACGAAAAAGATCAGAGCATCAATGCGAATGTTCTCGAGGTGTGCGAAACTAAAATATCCATTCAACTTATCGCACAGTGGACCAGCGATGATCAAGTATTCATTGGAAAAGCGTATAAAATCCGGGATCATAGTACCGTTTTAGGATTCTTCGTAAAAAACAAGGCTGTGCCGTTCGTCATCAGCTATGATCTCATGTCACGTCTTGTCGCTGTACTGCCTCTGCTAGTGGACAAGAAAATATCATTAAAGATAGTCGAAGTTTACAACCCAAAGTAGTAAGCGGACGATAAAGAAGCTGAGCAGTTCTACATGGTATGAAACGCTCAATACAAACGAACCTTTTCTATATCATAAACGCCATGTTTGAAAAAGCTGAGAAACGGCTGTGAACCTGAAGGAGCCCTAATGGAAACAGCCTTAACAAAATCGATTACATGCTGACAAGCAAATGGAGTGATAACAGATCTGTCTGTTATTGGAGAAAGCATTGTCTGTCCAAGGAGAGATCACGAATTACTTCTCTCTGCAGTCGTAATTCGATGTTGCTAGAAAGAGTCATGTTAGAAGAGCTCAAAGACCATCTACCATTATCGAATTTTCGATACTGAAGCCTTTTCAGGTAGTCTTCATCAGAAAAAGCATCGAACCAGCCTATCAGCTCCTCATCGATTCCATCACCAATACCATTTGGTTATCCTGCAGGGCAGCAGTGTCAACGATGAATCAGTGCACCAGCCATGAGCCAGAATGGAAGCTGATATGCAACTGAACAACGAGTACACTGCGCTGTGCAAAGAAATACAGAAAAAATCAGAAAGACTATCGAGTAAAGAAGAACGAAGCCAAAGCAAACCGCATTAAAGAGGAATAGTCCAAAGACTGCGGAAAAGCCGGTAGATATAAGTGACGAAGGAGGAACAAGAAAGCGCATCCGCACGATGTTCAACAACAACCTCTACTCCTCGAATATAGAGATAAACCGAAAGCTGCCGCAAGTGGCCCCTGAAACCGTACTCAGTTCCACCTAAGACAAGTAAAGTGGACAAGAATGTCAAGAGGTGTCGTGGCAGAGGCAGCATAAAACCGGCGCATCTCAAATCAAGAGGAATGGTCCCTTTAAAAGCCTTGCCGAACGATTTACACAGTACATCAAGTTAAAGAATACGATGAAAACATGAAATAGCCCTTCGACGATTCTTTTCTCAAAGAAAGGTAATACAGAATTCCTTTTGAGCTATCGATCTATCATTTTCCTGTCACAAGTCTAAAGAGTATTTATCTGAATCACCTTGTACCGTATCCGGGAAGATCTTGAACTGTTGGTTAGTAAGGATCAAGCCTGTTTCCCAGCAGGGTTCTGTACCACAGACCACAGCGGCGACTTGAACCACTTGACAGAGAAGTGATAGTAACGAATTCCACGAAGCATTCATCAACTCTCCGAAAAGCGTTAGTTTTATCGAGCTGAACGCTATACTGAACGCCTTTCATGACTGTTATATCAACCCAGTCTATGCCGACCTGATTGAGAAACAGAATTCCGACGCAAGTTGTTCGAGGAACCGCGAAGAATCAACATCAAATGAGGAATGTGCCCTGGAGTTGCCATCTCTCATAATCTTTTAGCGACGGCGTTTAAATCCTTTTTCAACCTTCTAAACTGGAGTGGCGGCATTTACATTAACTGAGAACTATTTATCCATTTTATCTTTGCAGACGACATCATGATGTTCGCCAAAGAGCCGGCGGAACACCAAGCAAAGATAATGTAGTTGCTGATGGAGTCATGCATCATCTTTCTGGGGATGAGCATCTCTAAGACGAAATTGATGCTCAACCAGCACTGCTCTGAGTGTACCATCTTCATCATCTCATCACTGAGGGCGAAAAGTTTTAAAAGCCGCTAGCTGTGTATACCTCAGCCATTGTGCCTCAATAATGACATAATTGACTAGACCAGCAGTAAAAGGAAGGTGATATGGGTCAAGTTTAGTCACATCTCTGCTGGATAACGAACTATTAATATCATCCATGAGATAGCAGATGTTGGTTTACTCCGCCATCCTACCCGTCATGATTTATGGAGGCTAGCGGAGTGCTGGTCTACTACCAAGGCTAAGAAAAAGAAACTGGTAGTAACGTAATTATCGATATAAATAAGAATATGCAAGGTTTCTCTTCAAGACCATGTTCCATGTGCAGTAGCTCGGACTTTTGGATTTACTCACTGCCGCCTACTACTCGAAAAGACTGTGAGCTAGCCATGTGGCTCGTTTGAAGCACAACAAATGGACATCTCGAGTTACCAACTGTATTGCTTTCGGTAACCGACCTCCACTCGTCAGACATACCTCCAGCAACACGCTTGAACGACCCCCTGACGAAACTGTTTGTTGGTCACATCACTTTGAAGAATGGCGCAATGTTAACTTGCATCTGTGGCGCAGGCGTTAACAAAAACAAGTGAAATATAAGGATATGAAAGATTTCATGAGTTCTGTGGGATGGTGATTTTTTTTTTCGTATTTCTGAGGCGAATCATATTGATAGCGTATTCTGAATCTATAAAGATCATTGCCGGATAGATCGAATTACGATTGTGGAAATGCCGTTCCAACATAGAGAGCTGTAATATAAAAATAGTGTAATGGTGCGTAGTAGTTTACTATGATGCAGTTTTGTTTATTCTAGCGATACACATTCATGAAGTGCCACTCTGTTGTTTATTGTGATACTTTTCTGTTATGTTTGGTTGTTGATGTCTTTATTTTAGATGAAGATGTGGTAAATATTCCTGCTTTGCATGTCAGCGCTAGCAATCTCAATAAACAGGCGTCACGTAAACGAAGAAGGTATACTATGAAAGTTCTTACTGACGAAGAAAGGATGAGGAAATCGTAAGCGTAACTTGTTTTGTGCTGTTTTTTTATGATATGCAATGTTCTTGCATCCTGGTAACTATTACATTGAGAGAATTTTCGTCAGACGTCATGTTGGGTCCACGTTGGTTTTTAATGACGTTTTTTGCAAAGAATTTAGTTGAATTTAAGCTCATGAAAATCCTGAAAACGTATTTTGCTATCTCTGTTATATACTTGGAGGCAAAGGACTAGCAAATTTTAGTTTAATTGATTTGATTTCTAAGCGAATGAATGGTCACCGCGACATTATTTTGGACATCACATATGCTGTCCTTGAACTTTCGCGTATGATTAATATGGCCTGCTTGTTATTCGTCCTGAGAAGCCGTTTGATGTTTTCGATCTATCTATCACTGATGTCTGAGCCACCTTCATGATTGACACATCCGATTGTGTGGATCAGCTTCTTTCATTTAATTGTTTTTTTGCATGAAACTTTTTCAAACGTCTCCGCCAAGGCTGCGTCCTGTCCCCTATCCTGTTTGTGTTGTACATGGATAGAATAGTCAGGCGCTG